CAATTTATATTTTTGGTTCTGGTCCTGATGGACATGCAATTGGACAGTACCACTTTTGGGTGGAAAGTAATTAAAAGGTCAGTTATATATTACTCCTTCAGCAGAGCTAAAATGTAACACATGGCTGAATTGAGAATAGATTTTGGATATTTAATATGTCTATGCTAGCTCAATGATATTTATTACTCCATCTGTTCCATAATTATTGTCCAGTTTTGATTTTCATTTCTAGTATAAATTGTATTAAAACTGAAATCTCAAACTGAATAATAATTTTGGGACAGGAGGAATATTACTATTAATGAGATTTCTCTACAACAAGGCTAGTTTGGTACTTTGGTTTGTCTTTGTCATGAATATGGCATTTGCTCAATCATTTGGGGGCGTAACTGTGATGTTTATTTGAAGTTTTATTTTGGATGGTGGCTGAGACTTGTGAGAAATCATGCAAGGTCTCCAAGTAGGGGTGGAGCCAAAGCCCCAAAGATTTGATTAGGCAAGATTTTCAATTTTGTAATTTAAATTACTTGGCCTTAAAATTTTCAATTTAGATGGGGCAAAATCTATATTTCTTAAAAAAATTCTTACATTTCAAGGAGTAATTAGCAAAAAAAAAGAAGGAAAAATTCAGATGTATGTAGCTCCGCCCTTGTCAAGTGGTCATGCGAATATTATTGGTGATATTCAAGATATTTTGAGGAAGAATTAGCTGGTTTGTCTACATTATCTTTATACGAAAGAAAATTTTGCTTCAGACTTTATTGCATCCACAGTTTCTTCATCTCTGTTGTTAGAAAATTCAGATATGTCGCATATGAGATTGTCATTCTTATGATATGTTTAGTACTCGTTTTAGATTAATTTTAATATCCTTCTTTCGTTCATGAATAAATAGTAACTAATTCACCCATGAAATGAGAGTAAAATCCATCATGTTATCCAAAAGAAAAAGAAGAAGCAAAATCGATCATCGGTAGACTTATGTTTACTGCCCTATAAATAGCTGATAAAAAAAAATTTAACTAAAAAAGTTTTTGGTTTGGCTTTGTGAAATTGTACTGTAATAATAATGAATGGGAAATATTATGCTATTGGGCTTACTCAGCTTAGGAATATCACTAGGAATGATACTTCAAAAGACTATTGGTTTTTCATATCAGGTGACCCGGGAATGAACCGGCGGACTCCTTAGCTAAATTAGCATTCTCGTACGCTCCGGAATGGTATATTTTGTCAACACCTTCCGATAATACTTCTCAGAAAATGACATTAAATTGGTCTAGTACAACCCTTCAACGATGAGTTGCTTTTGTAGCTAAGCTTCGGCTTCCTCATTATATATTTAAAAAAAAAACTATTCAAAACAGTTTCATGAAGTGAAATTATTCAAGAAAACTACCAAGCTCAGAAGAGGCGCTCAAGTTAGTACTTACAAATATCATGGCTTATACGGACTGTAGTACTTTACAAGCTCAGAGATTTCGTGAATTAGATTTCCCAGTTGAAACTCAGGTTTTGATTGGCAAAATAGTTCGTCTTAAAGGTTCATTTCATAGATGTAGTATTATTAAAATAAATAGAAGTCAGTTAGATGAGGTACATAGGCTTGTCTATTACCACTCTTAATGTAATTTTTCCTAAATTTTTACTAATATATGATCCTTTTATCAAAAGAAGAAAAAAAAAAAAACTACACCTGATTGCTTCGGTTAACAAGGAACGGTTTTTTAGTGAGTAATTTGTATTTTTCTTTCTTCTGTTGAGAATGTATACGTGAAGATATAATATACATATATATATATATATATATATAGGGAGTGGCTAGAGTCCCGTTACGGGACGGTTCCGTTTTAAGATAATAACCGTAGGAGTAATAAGGCTAATTAACAACCGTAGGATTACAATAAGGGTGCATCATAGGTAAATATACCTAAACACACCTGATTAAACTGAAAAAATTAGAGAAATTGATTAATTTTACCCAAAACTTTAAGTATCTAGCCAGTTTGACCCAAAAAGATTTTTGCGAAGCCAAATCCATCATCAAAGTTTCAATTTCTGGCCAATTTCATCCAGTTGACAAAAATTCCGTTAGATTTAACACTTCCGCTGACATTCCATTACGGATAAAATAACAGTTGTACCCAAAATTTTAACCGCGTCGTTAATTTTACCCCATTGATTTTTGGTTAGCCAATTTTATCCTTTACGTTTGAAATTTTTGCTAATTTCATCCAATTGGCCTAGTTTCTTAAACTTAAGGGATTTCAGTTAATTTTTAACAAAAATATATCTTAATAGTATCAAAAAATTATAAAAATAACCCAAAATATGTAAAATCAACAAAATAATCTCTTTTTATTATTCATTTATTTATTTTTATTTTATTTTATTTCTCTTTACTACTTTTTATAACCATCAAAATATATTATAAGATCATTAAAATAATAAGTATTTATTTTCAAACTCTATTTCTCATGTGCAAACATGTGAGTTTGGTTCAGAAGTAATTTTGTCATATTTTTAAAAAGAGCTTCCTAGAGTCACAGTTCAGATTCACAGCCAAGTAATAGTTCAGTTATTAAGCAAAGGTAAGAACTTCCCATGGCAATATCATGCAGCTCTGAGAGAAATAAAAAATATTTTGCAAAGCAAACACTACTCTATTCACCATATCTTTCGAGAAGTCAATGCTCTTGCGGATGAACTGTCCAAGTAAGCATCAAGTGATAATTCCTTCTCTTGTGATAGTCCAACCGGTCTTCCGCCCACTTGAGAGGTATATTAGCATTGGATCAACAATCTTTTCCTTACATTAGCATTAGATAGGAACTAGACTAGGAAACTAAAGAACTGCCAGGGATTTTAGACAATCTTTGTAAAGCAGTATCCTAGTTTAGAGAGGTTAGGGATGTTAGAGCTGTCAGGGGATCACTTGAAGATTCTTTGTAAGACAGCTCTCAGCTTTAGCTTTGCAACATGGCCGTCACAGAAAAATTATAAAGTAATTTTAAGACGGTCCTTCTTTTTGGGTAAGTCTTAAACACTGCCAATTGTAACTTTTATTTTAAATCAATAAAATCGGGGGGATACCCACCAGGTACCACCCTGGTTTTCCTAAAAAAAAAAAAACTATATAAGCAATCATTGAATTTCATGACAAAGATAAATACGTATATTTTTTAACAGCATATTTTTTAATATTTTTTTAAACCTCAAAATTGAATTTACAAAGGTAAATTTTTTTCTTGAAATATAGTAATTATACTAGTGCCAAGTACAAGAAGAAAATTGTTAAAAAACTAAAATAAAACAAATTAAAATTTTTTTAAAAATATAAAAGGATGAAATTACCTCTAAACCTAACTCAAGTGTGTTGCACATGAAAAATATTTTCGAAAATAAATAATTATTTTTTAAAGATCATATAGTATATTTTGATGGTTATGAAAAGTAGTAAATAGAAATAAAATGAAATAGATTAAAATGAATACAAGTGAAAAAGGAATATTTTGTTATTTTTACATTTTTTAAGCAAGAAAAAGGATAAAAACGACGTTTAGGTTCCGGATAACTCAAAAAATATTTTGTGAGTTATCTTTATAATATTTTGAAACTATTGGAGTATTTTTGTTAAAAACTAACGGAGATCCGTTAAGTTTAACGGAAATTTGACCAATTGGATGAAATTGACAAAAGTTTCAAACATAAAGGGCAAAATTAGCTAATCGAAAATCAATAGGGTAAAATTGACGGGGTCAAAACGGTGTAACCGCTATTTTTTCCTTTTCCATTACTTTGTACAATTTTTTAGAAAGAAGAAGGGAAAAAAAAAGGAAAAATAGGTTAAATATTTTGTAATTTTTTGTGGAATTTAAGAAAAGTGGCGGGGACGAAAATGCGGGTAGTGATAGAGGGAGGATTGTGTACTGTTGGTGGAGGCAAATTTTTATGTTTGTGGTGATGGTTTGAAATTCTCACAGATTTAGGAAATGGTGATGGTAATTTTTAGGAGAGAAGAGGAAAGAGACGGTGGTGGTGCAGCAGCGGAAAACAAGTAAAAGAGGAGGAAAAGAAAGAGGCTTATGGTGGGAGCAATGAATTAGATTAGGAGGTAAATTATGTAGTAGGGACGTTATAATGATTAAATGATAAGATAAGCGTATGTTACTGAATAACAAAACATTAGGGATAAAATGTTAAAATTTTGGGTCAACAAAGTTTTTTACCAATAAAAAATTATACAAACTAACGGAATGTCAGTGGAAATATTAAATCTAAACAGAATTCTCATCCATTTGGATTAAATTGACAAAAAATTGAAATTTAGATGATGAATTTAGTTTTCTAAAAATATTTTAGGTCAAATTGGCCAGAAACTTGATGTTTTGGGCAAAAATGATCATTTTCTCAATTAGTTTATGATATTATAGAATGTTATTCACCACATGGTTATATCTTATACCCTCAATTTCGATTGGTTGAAGACAAAACGGGACGGTTCTGTAAAAATGGCCAACGAGACTCTAGATTTTCCCATATATATATATATATGAAAAAGGCCTGGAAAAAGAATGCCCAAACTAGTAAACAATTCATGATTCCCACATTCTTCCCAACCCATACTCCAATCAAAGAATAGTGGTTTGAGAAAGTAAAAATCGATTAAAAGAAGACATTAAACTATTGTCTGGAAGACAGGAAGCAAGGGGAAAGGCAAGCAGCAGTCAAACATGGACAGCATTTTGAAGATGATGGTGAAGGATCTCACGTGAATGGTCCTAACAGTGCCCATGAAATGAACCACTGGCAATTAAGAGGATTCGGAAAAGAGATTTGCAACACACTGACTACTACATAGCATCCCTTGCCCCAAGTGGACCTTAAGGGGGTAGAAAAGAAAAACTGCTACACCAACTTCTCCATCTTAATCGCAACATAATGTTATAAGTATAGTTTATAAACTTATGTAATAACTTGAGATTCTAAGTTGATATCTCCTATCTAGCTCTAAGTGAAATACATACGCACTTGTGAGGATACTTACGTACTGGTAAGTAAAATACATACATATGTAAGTCCAAAAATAGACAAAGAAGGATGATGTTGGAGGATAAGTCATTCGGGTAAGAGGTTTTGGTTATGCCACAGACTCACAATTAAAACATTTGAACCACCTTCTTGGCATGGAAGAGGGAGGCAGAAAATAATTCCACTTTACCAAACCCAATATGGAGAGAATGAGAAGAAAGTTGTCATTGACAATCTTACACCAGAATGAAAGCCCATTTACAAAACCCTTAGATATCCTACAAAGCAATTCCTTCTGCAATAAACAAACTACAAACAACTATTACAGCACGTCAGCACCAGTAGACACACAACAAATCCTATCGAGAGAAGTCTATCTAGAAAATCATCCTTTTATACCCCAAAAAACCAGCTGATAACAGCTGAACCAAAAATCTACCTGTACTTCCACAACAAAATCAGTCCTTCCCAAACCTTCCGCTCGCCTTACCTAAAATAACCACCTGTCATGAGATACAAAAAACGGTTCACAATCATGGTTTCTGTCATCACTAAAGAGAAACACAAGCCATTTGCGCAACCATAATCTAAAGAAAACAACTCTCCTAGAGACTATGATTCTAACATATGAAAAAACTGTTGACATAATCGACCACAATGCAGTTTTTCATCAGTTTTTCCAGCACATGATTATTTTCCCAGAGTGTGGTTAGTATCATCAGCTGGACCGAAACGTGAGGACCATGTTTACAGACAATCTGAGCACATAACTAGGTTTGGTGGAATTACAGAGAAATGTATACATCATCATCAGATGGCACTTAGTGAAGCTGCAATGTCATTTTAATCCCCAAGGAACAAAGAAAATGCCTCCAAGCAGATACTTCAGATGAATGCAGGATAGGATCATTCATGTGCACCAATCTATGTTATTAGCAAGTTTACCATTATCCCTACCATGACCTTTCTAGCTCTGGCAAGTTATTCATAAGTTAACCGTATCCTAACATGAACTTTCTAAAATCATTTCACAGAAAACTAAACAAAAACATCTATTTAAGCCTCGGATCAGAGATCAAGGGGAGGCGGGGGTCTTATAGGAAGATTTCCTCTTTCCCACACCACAGATGAACTACTGTGAAAAAAATCAGAGAATGAAAGAGGAGAAAGGAGAATCAACGGTAAAAGACATGGAGAATAACATTATAATGAACGCTACAAGTCACCTTTGTGTCCCCTGATACAATTAGGTCAACTCATGCATGTGCATGTGTATTTTACTTAGCACTACATCTTCTTAATTTGGCATTCAGAGTAACAAGGAAAGAACAGATCAACCAAGTTTAGTTACTTAGACGCATAAAACTACGGTTTACTCTTGAGGGGAGCTATCCCCAATTTTCAATTCATCTTCCAAGTGAGTTCTGACTACTGTTGTCTCCCAGTTCAAGACAATCTATAGAACAGTGTCCTCTTCAGTCATCACACATCAAGTTACAAAGAAAAAGAATTCAGAGTAAAGAATCTTCAGCAGCCTCCACTAATAGCTCAAAGCCTCAAAGATCAACTGAGTTCAATATAATTCGGAAGGCTGACTTTTGAAACATGATTGATAATGAATACCCACATCATGACTGCATCAATTTAGCAACCAAATTCCCCAGCTCTCCCCAGGCAACAAAAGGAAAAAAAATGCAAAAACAAAAGGAAAGAATGGTATATATGCCAAGAGAAAAATAAAAGAAGCAAAAAGACAAGCAATTTTCTCTATATCTTGTAGCGGTGTTTCATTAGTCAAAAACTAAATATGGAAGTTTTCCACAATAAAAATGTCAGTATAAGCATTTATTTTGGAGTTCGGGTCCCAAGTTTTCTAAAGGAAATTGTAAAAGGAAAGAGCTGTTGCCTGTCCTGTATGGAAACTTTCCAATGATTAAGGCAAAGAATAAACCAAAGCACCCATAACACCCATAACTGTCTATATTTGGACACAACCAAAGCAGGAAACTTAGATTGCATTATGCAGGGAAAAGATTCATACACAGACACTACAACCATCATTAGGGTCAATAGCTTTCACCGGTCTAACCCAAAAGGAAATGCAGACGCAAAAGGTCCTTCCATAAGTAGCTAATAATGATGACTCCAAACCCTCCCTCCCACAATGAAAAGAAAAAATACCAGGCATGCAGACACTACATTCCGATTTATTCCATTTTACTTATAGCCTCTCACCAACAGCTACCAACAAAATTCTAAGTGGCATTAAATTATAACCTAAGAGCTCAAAATTGCCTGGTAGAACTATATTTACAAAATTCAAAAACACACATTCAAAGCTGTAATACAAACCACCACCAGTAACTAAACTAGAATAAACTTCTGGAAATATTTAACTCATCAATGAAAATTCATAAGTCCAAACATATGCAGGAGTTCCTTGAAAAGGGAAGAATTTTTTCCAACTGTGTCATATTCTTCATATCAATGAAATGCACAGAATAAAAGCAACTCAAAAAGAAAAATCACAAGGGTGGCCAAATAATCTCACCGGATTGAGAATTTCGCCTTGATCTCTTAAGCTTTTCCAGCTGGACTTGGGACTCCATAAAAAGCTTCATTCTTTGAAGCTCCAAATCTTTCGCAAATTGCATTTTCTGTTTCTCCAACTCCACCAGTTGCCTATGCTTCGCCTCCTCAACCCTCTCATAAATCTCTGCAAAGCTCCCAATCGCCTCAGCCAACTTCCTGTAACCCTCCTCCAGTACATGGCCGGAGACCATCATTTTCTTCGCTTTTCCAATCCCACCAGTGCGTGCCCCGGCCCTTGTCCGTCTCTCCGGACTCGACATCTCAGAATCTTCCTCATCATCATCGTGAATTCCAACCCTCGCAGCTGCAGCCGCCGCCGCCGCCGCAGTCATAGCCGAGGAATTCCTCTTAAGAACCGGCTCTTCAACAAACTCAACCGGCGCTGGCCGCTTTGACCTCGGTCCCACCGGCACCGTGGACGGCGGAGGAGGAAGAGACGGAAATTCCCTCTTCACCGGTACCGGCGCCGGAGACACATCTTTCTTAACAAAGCTCCTCCTCGTCATCGGAGGAGACGGCGAGAGGCGTTTAGGCTTTGCGAAGTTGTCCCCAATGAGGGAATCGAGGGAATCAAAGAAGGGCCAGGAGGAAACGTACCGGCCGTTGGATTGCAAGGACTTGAACTTCTCGACCTTGAATTTCTTCTTCAAGGTGTCGATACGGTTTTTGCACTGAATGTCGGAGCGGTGAAGCTTCTTGGTGTGGGCATGGAGGGAATTGACGGCTTCGGAGACCTGTTGCCAGTGCTGTTGACGGAGGCTGCCGCGGTTGAGTTCCAAGTAGTGGGACCCCCATGCTTGAATTAAAGTATGAGTGGCGTCCTCCGACCAACAGTCTTCCCTCATCGGAAATGAGTGGGACCGGGCCGTCGACGGCGGTGCGGAGAGGGCTAATAATTCGTCGGAGGGCTTGGGCGGGGGTGAAGCAGGAGGGCGCGCCGGTGACGTTGCCGACGGGACGGCTTCGTCTTCGTCGGACATGGGTGGGGAATGGTGAGAGGTGGTGGTGGAGGAGGAAGATGGGTAGTTCGGCGACCGGGAAGAAGAAGAGGGCGAGGAACTTCGGCGGTCTGACGGCATAACAGCGGCGTAAAAAGGGCGAACAAAGATTGGTCGCCGATGAAGAGTTGAAGTTTTGTTTGGTTTTCCTTTTTTTTTTTGTTTCTGGGCGGGCATGTGGGTGGTTAATGCATTTGGGTTAATGGGTTGGGTCGTTGGGCTTTTTGGTTTGTTTGGGTCTTCGGTCAGTTTTTTTTGGAGGGAAGATGAACGAATCTGCTAGTGATAGTTATTTGATTTTTCTAGTTACAGTTCTTTTTTTTATTGGGTGTTTCAATTCCGAGGGAAGATTAATCTCAAAGCGCAAAGATTATAAAGACCGTGGAGAAAGTAAAATTTGTTCACTGAAAACAATGGTATTTGCTAGGGGTGTTCACGGTTTGGCTCAAACCGGTGGAACCACCCAATCTGGTCATCAGTTTGGTTTAGCGGGCGGATTTTAATTGTATTTTTAAACCGGCGGATTGAAAAATAAAAAATCGGTCATACTGATCCGAATTACGGATTGGTACTTTCAAACCGTTTGTCAAATCAGACCGGACCGTATATATATATATATATTAATAATATAAAATTTGTTGTATATATAGAGCCGGATGATGACTTGTATAAAAAATGTTAAGTTGGCTCATTGGTATTGTTGTTTTACATTTGCTGGAGGTCGCGTGTCCGAGTTCCCCCATTCACAAATTCTTGTTTTTCCTCCCATTTTCCCCCCAAATAGGCCAAACTATAAACCCTTTTTTTCCTCCCATTTTCCCCCCAAATAGGCCAAACTATAAATCCAAACAGGACGAAAAAAGGCCCAAAAAAATTATGAAAAACCCTCAAAAAAGGCTGAAAAAAAGTCCCATAACAAAAAAAAGTATAATTTTTGGTCCAAAATGGAAAAGTTCAATTAGAAGTCCAAACCGCCAATCCACCCAAACCAAACTGTTCAAAACAGATTGGATTGGTCCGGTTCATACATCAATCTGATCCGATTACGGTTTCAAAAATTTTAAAACCGTAATGAACACGTCTTAAAATAATTGTTTGATTTAAATTTTTTATTTTTAATATAATTTATATTAAAAAGTAAAATTTCAAATTCGATAATTATTTCGGGATAGAGGCAATATATGAAAAATCATTTAAAAAAGTACATTTTTAAAATATTTGGCGTTGGATGTGAATACACCACATTATTACCTATACTCTGTGAATGATTTTTTTCGTATATATTTATGTACTTGGTGTTTCATTCTCGGTCAATGTATTCAGAACATTTATAATATGGACTCGTAATCATATTATGTTTCATTATGCAAAAAATATACTGATTCACATCAGCACATATCTCATAGCAGACTCTTTAAAGGCATTACACGTTATAATTTCTTCACTTACAGTTATCTTGTATTACTCCCACTGTCCACTCTCTAGTTTATATTTTTATTTTTAATACAATTATAAAAAGTAAAAAATCCAAACAAGACAATCGTTTTGAAATAGAAAGAACATTGCGTACATTATGCAGATTTGTTTATTTTAAGTTTTCTAAAGTCCCTAAGGAGATGAGAATACCACATTACAACTTGAGAGATTACACTAGTTTTTCTTTACATTTTTTTTTTCAAATGAAGAGGCGTATGCCTAGATTAACACATTTCTAAGGTATGATACCCCTATTACATTATGTTCCAACCATGGTAAAACTTCTTATGATAGATTTTGAGACCATTGTAAACCTTTGGGACCCTAAAAACCAACGTTGTTAGGTAAAGAGCTACAAAATTAGCTTAACGGTAAACATATTTTAACTCGACAACTCAATTTCGCTTTAACAACTCACGAATACCAGTGATCCAATTTCTTCACATTGATCTGGACATGAAAATTTACAGTAACACATTATAAGCACACTTCTTTTTTAGTAAATGTAGCCATTCCCTCTATTGCTACCAACCCTTCAATAGGATAATATTGGACATTGCTTGAGCCGAAATGATCTGCGCAAAATTGAATTGGAAAAATATACTCCTTCTATTTCAAAATTATTGTTCAATTTGAGATTTCATGTTTAGTATAATTTGAACTAAAAATAAAAATTCAAACTGAACAATAATTAATTATAGGACGGAAGGAATATCAATGATTTGTTTAAATTAATTATTTTAATTTGGAGGCCCAAGATCATCAAAGTCCCCGAAGAGATGTACCAATTCAATAGTCAAAATTAAGAGCCACTATGTACTGTCCTGTGAGAAATTATTAGAGGCAAGGTCAAGGTGTACCAGGTCAACTATGATTCCATACTGTATTTCGGTGTATATCTTATATATTTAAAGAAGTGTCGGTTTAATCCGTATATTGTATACTGTAGTTAGATTGAAAGTGGTTCAATTTGGAGAATGAAGTCAAAGTTGAGGCAAATCAACAATAGTAAGTACATCTCCTAAACATTGATGGGTATTTGGCAAATCACTATATATATTAACATTAATGTTCTTAATTTTATTTAGAAACAGTGAAATTATTAAATTGAAATGATATAGTGACACAAAAACATACAAAATATGTTATTAATTTCGTTTTTGGATAGACCGAAAGCACAACTGATGAAGGATAATTTCAGATTTTCAAACATACCACATGTTTCACGGTTTCAGTATTCCAGTTCACGGTCTAAAATCACTCTCCATATCAATTTCACTGTCTGTGTAACACTGTAAAAGTAACTCAACTAATTGTCATGAGGCTGAAAAGTCTAATAGTGCTAGATTTCTGTTGCTATGGACTGAAGCAAATTTGAAGGATAATAGTTAACCTGGAAATGAAAAAAAGGTCCATGAGTTTCCCCATTACCCATGTCATCCCACCATTTGGGCCAGTTAGTTTCACAATGCCTAAATCAGTTGACATTTTAGAAAGCAGCAAGGCATCCAACATAACTTCGAATTCAGAATTCTTGCTGTTAACCAAAATGGTTGTGGTGGAGTGAAAGGGATTCTTCCACCTTTAAATTATAGGTCGAAAGTTTGAACCTCGCCATGGACATGGAGCAATCTTAAACACTTTGGCCAACTGTTCTACCCATCGAGGTGCCTAAAATTTAGCGAGGGAGATTAGTCACTGTTGCCGACAGTGGACACCTTACAAATATGCAAGAATTCTTGCCATTTCAAGATTTATTTATCTTTTAGTAATTCTCACCAAAAATAATTCAAACGACATTTATTGTGCACTGTAGGTATAAGATTGTTCAAATACTAAATGGATGAACGGAGATATGTAAACGCGTGGAATCTCTTCCATGAATATACAGTATATTTTTTCAATCATTTAATTATGAATTATGAAGTATATAAATGTATACTTATGAACCAACCTAAACATCATTATTCTGTTTGGTAATTGTTGAGTTGATCTTGATATAATGACGTCTCAACACAAAATTATTACTCTTCTTCGGGATAGAAGAGATGGGATCCGATCATTTTCCATGTTACAGATGAACGAAAGCAACATAAATGTATCAATCAATTACACCAAGTTAGACTTACCCCGTTCTTAATTAGAAGGTATTTCAAAACTTGATTTTTATGTCATGTTCCTATTGTTGCCTCTAAAATCCCTGGTTGATCCGGATAACGTTTGTGGGATGAATCTTCTTCCTCGTCTTCTTTAAAGGAAAATTTTCACATGGACAATTGACAACATTGGTGTAATAATACTAATGATTTGTCCTCGTACTATATATCTATGTTCCCCAGTCTCAATGTGGGCTCGTGGTAGATGCTGGACTCCGAGCTGGACTATTCTTCTTCTTCTTCTTGGTTTCCATTTCCCCCTCTGAATATTTACAGTGAAATTTGAAGGGATATCTGCAAAATAGTGAGAAAAAGAAAATTGAAGCCGCGAGCAACAACTATAATAATTGTGGTAATAATATACGTACCATTTATACAATATAGATCAAGTGATTTACTTGACGGCATGGACCACGTGATATAAACAAACTCCGATTTCTTCTTTTAGAAACCAGATTTAATATTTAGTGAATTTCATCTTACCGTCATAGTATACGATGTGACGTAATTCATTCAATATTCATCAAATTAATTTTAGTATGTTAAGTAAATTTTAAGCTGACTAAATTTATTATTATCATCACACTATTCGATATAACATAATCACAAACATAATTTATGGTACCGATATCTCCTAATGAATTGCTTATTGTGTCGGGTTGTGAAGATTTGTGGATGGTAGTTAAATATATTTATGTTGTTATGTCAATTTTGGAGGGAAGTAGTTTGGTACATTTGGTACCACGATTATAAGGTACCCATAGTAGTAGTATCACCAGACCATGTGCCAAAAAATTCAGCTTACTGTCACATTTTTGAGATCTTGTATTTCATTTTGTGCCCCACTATTTCCTTAGACTTTTCAAACCCGTCCCTATAACGATTTCCAGAAAATTCATCATGTGTACATTTTCCTAATCAATTAGAGCTGTCAATATATATGTTGTAGGTTTCCTGGCATTCTTGTGTTTGTGTTACTTCATACCACAGTTCTTCTATAGCTCTATTTATGGTGATCTTCCTACTTCACCACTAAAGATTATAAACTTTAATAAACAGTTTGGCGCATATAATTTTTTCTTTAAAATGGTTCGACCAATTTCATAATAGTCGATACATTTATCTGGCACTATCATTAGTAATTTTTTTGTACCTTTTGTAACCGAATAATCTATAACTTTGTAATACTTTTGATTTTATCAAAACTACGCATGTAAGGAGTAAAATCGTTGAATTATGACGACATATTAATTTTAATAATGTGATATTTCCCCTTCAATACAAAATACAACAATAAGGGCCTGCATGGCCAAACCTTGCAACCCAAAATTTTTTTAAATTATCACTTAAACCCAAATCTTAAAGTCAATATCATTAAATTATTAATACGATATTTTAACTCACATTTTAAAATTTATCTTAAATGTTATTTCCACATCATTTTCACTTATCACCACTGGAACATCAATCAGAGCCGAATCACTAACCGACACCGTGAAAGCACTGGTAGCATGTGGGCATCGTTGGAAAGTGATCTGACGATAGCAATAGATGGTCTGGTTATAGATAAATTAATATTTTATTTAAAAATAACCATATAATATTTCAAGCTCTCATCTAAAACACTTTTCAAATCACATTCAAAATCTGAAACGAAAATAAATATAAGAATATTGTTCATAAAATCCTAAAATACTTTAAACAGAATATTAAATATCAAGATTAATCATCAGTAGACCTGACTGTTCAGTGATCAATTTTAAGGGCAGACAAAGTTGATGGAGAAAGCTGAACATTA